GTACAATATTTTAAATTTATAACAAATAATTGAAATAGATAATAACAACTGCTGTTATTATTATAGAGATGAGACATCTGAGATGCCTGAAAGCCCCTGTAATAAAAAACAGAAAACGGTAAAAACGTCGAAAAAAAGTGAAGACATGTTGGATGTTGCATTGAAAACTTTCAATGAAACATCCAAACTTCTAAGTGAAAGCAAACAAGAGGATAGAATAGACTTATTTTGTAAAAGTCTAAATGTCAGACTTCGGGATTTGAGTAAAAAAGACAGGCATCATGTGATAAAAAAATATTGAACTTATGATGCTGGAAATAGAAGAAAAAGAATTGAAAGAATAAAAAATTTTATATATACAAAAAGTTATCATTTATTTTTCATTTTTACACTATAAATTTCCTTAACAGGCTATTTAGAATATAACCCTTGATATAAACAGCCAGTCCAGTACTTTTGGTAAAAATGAAACTTACTTTTTGACTCACTCTCATACAATTTAAAAAAGTATTAGTTAAAATTCTTGAAACAAATTATCAAATTAATAAATAACCAAAAGTATAATTATAACTAAAACAATCACAGAATGATCATGAAAAACACTTTCTTCAAAGGATAACCATCCTGAAAAAAAAGCATACCTAAAGTTACCATAAACTACTCAAATACATCCATGAGGTCTGGATTAATTGAAAGCTCATATTTTCATCAAACAGCTCTAGAAAATCATATGCAAAATATAAGAAACTTGCCAACCCAATTATGCTTACTAGAATTAGTTTGCATTTTTTAATATAACATTTTAAACAAATCTGATGGTATCAAATCTAAATAGAAGTACATCATGTGCATTTTATAAGAATGTTTATCTATTTATATTTAAATAATCATTGGGTAGCCACCTGCTGGAACACCAAACCAAACAATAAATATGTTCTTTTGTCTGCTTGATATTTAGTAAATTAAAATAACTGAATTATATACTTTATTAAACTTTTAATTTGATATGATTTCATTATTATTATTGGATACTTAGTTAGAACATATTAATTAATTTCAACTATACAGAAAAATTTGAAGATACATCACAACAACTGATAATAGTTCCATGAAAAAGAACAGATTTTGTGATAACCTTCATATAATATTACGGGAATTGTCAAATAAAGATAGACATGAGGTACTAAAAACACTGAATTTTTATGTTTGAAAAAAGAAATACATAAACAACACAATAAGTAAATCATTTAGCATATACTTTTAAAATAAATCATGTTTATAAACCATTACTTTCATATATACAAAACAAAATTTTTTACAAATATTTTTACATTATACAAATTTAACCAAGGCCTCGATAAACACAGCTATCTTGCCATTCTACGGCACCTTCAGTACATAAATATTGTGCAAGTTTGTCACGTAACACTTTTGCGTCACAACTATATGTGTTAGATTTTTGCCAACCACATTTATGTAAGTGTTTTTGCTCATCACGCCATTGTCCCAGATTGACTGAATGATCCG